ACACACACACACACACACACACACACACACACACACACACACACACACACACACACAGGTACCCCATGTTGCCCACGCCAAGCTGCTTGCCGCCGGTGCAGTGTTAGGCCTCGCCCAAGCGACGCCCCAGGCTGGAGTGGCGCGCGCAGCCGAGGCGCCCGCCGCCGCAGCGGCACCAGCTGAATATGACAGAGTGCCGTGCGCGGCGTTCGGTCACGTCAATCTGAGGACCGCCCTTCACAGCAGCGGGCTGCTGGCTCCACTCGTGGCGCTAGTTGGCAGCATAGGACCGTCGCCGCCGCCGCCGCAGCAGCCGTTTGAGGGGGTTGTCGCGTTGGAAGTGGCACAAGCAGACTGCCGGGCCGCCAGCGAGGCTGGGCCCCCGCACGCCGCATGCAACACCGTGGGCGGCGGCGCTGATGACACCGGGGCCGAGGGGTCGACGTCACTAGGGCCAGCGGTGGCGGGGGCCCAGGTGGAGAGGCTGCCGGACCCACTGCGGCCGGAGCACGCCCTGTTCGTGCCTTGCAGCCAGGTGAGCGGCGCGCGCCGGCTCCTGTGGCGCCGGCGGGCGGGGCGCCGCCTCCCGTCTGCCCTTCTGTTTGCAGCCGTGCATTACGTCTGAACCATCCAGCGGCGTCCAGTCCTGCTCCTGACCAACCCGCCTAGACATGACCCACCCCTGGCGCACACCCTCAGGTGGTCACCTCGGCGTGCCAGCTGCTAGCAATCGTGGACGGGCCGCTCGGCTGCAATGCAGTGGATCACATGATGCTGCACCTCGCGGCCGCGACCTCTGGGCATCATGGAGCCGCCCCCGCCGCTCCTGGAGGGGCTGCGCCCGCCTCGCGGTTGGCGGGGGCTGTGCATGCCCAGCACGCGGCGACACTGTGGGCGTTGGCGCAGGAACCAGCGCGCCGGCGGCAGCTGGCGGGGGAGCCTCGCTGGGCGGCGCTGCTGCAGCGATGGCTCCCGCCGGCGCTGGCGCGGCTGCGCGGAGGGCACGGGGGCGGGCACACCACTTCAAAAGACAACGCGTGCGGACAGACGGCAGCGGCGGCCTCGCCCGCACTCACAACGCAGCTGGTGTCAGGGCCGCCCGGCGCAGCTGGGGCGGCCGCGGCCGCGGCCTTGGCAGCTTTGCCGCGGCCACGTGCCGACGGCGGCGCGTCTGCCGGGTGGGACGCCGCCCTTCAGACCGTGAGCCTCGGCGTGCGCTCGGTGTGGCTGCTGCTGCGGGAGGGGCTGCTGGCAGCACGTGGCGCCTCGGCGCTGCCGGCCGGGCTCGAGGCGCTCTACAAAGGCAGCCCCTCCGGCTGGTGGGGGGTGCCGCTGCCGAGGGGCGCGCGGCCCGCGGGCGCGCCGCTCGGGCCGGGGCAGGCGGCTGCACTCGGGCTGCTGCTGGACACGGCGGCGCTGGCAGCGGGCGGGGGTGGACGAGGCGGCGGCAGCGGCGGCGGCGCGGCGGAGGCGTGCGTGTTGCGCGTGGCGGCCGAGGCCATGACGAGCTGCTGGGCCCTGGCTGTCGCCGACGCAGTGAGACGTGATTGCTGGTGTAGGGGAGGGGGTTGGAGGGATGTGCTCTGCGGTGGCAGGGGCGCTTGCTTGCCATGCAGATTGGCTCATGCATGAGCCAGGCGCCGCTAGAGGCGCGGCACGCAAACTCGAGCGATGTGCCCTACATGAAATTCAGTTGCCAGCCCGCTTGCTGCCTTTCAAACCCGCAGGCGATGCTCGACCACCTCATGAGCCTCGGTCTGACAGAGCGGCTCGCCGCCGCGTGCCGCGCCTCGACGCCCGCGGCCGCCCCAACAAGCCGCGGCAGCGGCCCCGGGCTCGCCGGGCCCGCAGAGGCGCTTTCCGAGCTCCAGCAGGCGGCCGCCGGCTTCCTCGTGCACGTCGCAACAAGCGCCGCCGCGAACGACGTGGCAGCAGCAGGGCGCTGCTTGCTTGACCACGCAGCGGTGCTCCTTGTGCTGCTGCTACGTCGAGCGATCGCCGGCTCCAAGCCGCCTTGCCGCGAGGCGCCTGGGGCGGCTGAGGCTGCCGGCGCGGGCGCGGGAGCCGCAACAGACCCAACAACAGTGGATGCGGCTCTGCTCGAAGCGGCGCTCAGGGGCCTGGCCCGGCTGAGCGCTGAGCCCCGAGGGGGTGCGGAGGCGTGCGTGCGCGCCAAGGCGGTGCCGTGGCTGCTGCAGGCGCTGCGCGTGGAAAGAAGTGCGTACGCGGCGCTGCGGCGGGGCCACCAGCAGCAGCAGCAGCAGCAGCAGCAGAAGCAGCAGCAGCAGCCGCAGCAGCAGCAGGGGGCGCTTTCCGCCGCCATTGACTCTATAACATCAGGGGCAGTCGGACACGCGTGCTACCACCAGCTGGAGCAGCGGGAGCTGGAGCGTCCGCTGGCTTGCTTGCAGGCCAGATTAGCCAGCGGCGGCGCGTGGCCGGCCCAACCCCTCACCGCCGCTGACGACGCGTGCGCCGACGGCCGAGAGGGAGCGCTGGCGCTGGCGGCACTCCTGAACGTGTCGTCCCTTCCCGCCGGCCAGCTGGCCGCCTGCCGCCACGGCTTGTACACCCTGATACGCACCGCCCTGTCCTGCCCGGACGTCGGCCGCGCTGGGATGGCGGCCGCGGTCCTGCGCGCCGTCTGTGGCAACGCCGGCAACGCGTCCGCCGTGTATAAAGCGGAGATGCGCCTCAAGCGCGCGGCGCTGCTGCGGGCGGCGGGGCTGCGGCCGGAGGAGCGCCGGGGGCGGCGCGAGGCGCGTTGCGCGGGCGAGGACAGCGGGGAGGCGGGCGCGGCGGAGCGGGACGCGGCGCCGCCAGCAGGCCAGCCAAAGCGGCCTACGCCAGTGCCGGCGCTTGCAATGCCTGCATCAATACCAGCAGCACCAGCGGCAGCACCAGCGGCAATGGCAGCGGGGCCGCGGCGCGCCTCGATTGCAGGCGCGCAGCCGACCTCCTCACGCGCTGGAGGCGCGGCCGCCAGCCCGCGCCCCACCTGCACGTTTGAGGCCGCGGGGGATGCGGCGCTGATGACGGCGCGCTGGGGCGTCAGGGGCGCCGAGGCGGCGCGGCATGTGGGGCCGGACACGGCGCAGGCGTCCATGGTGCTGACGCGGATCACGCCCCGCCTGCTGGTGCGCGCCGACGGCGCCAGGATCTCGAAAGGGGCGCCGGGCGCGCGGGATGGCAGCGGCGGCGGCGGCACGGGCGCCGACGGCGCGGCTGCGCAAGGGGCCAGCGGCATCGGTGGGGACGGCAGCGGCGGTGGCAGCGGCGCAGGGGAGGACGAGGACGGGGAGGCGCAGTCGATCGTGTATCAGATGGCGAAGCGCATATCTATGATTGGGAGCGCCGCCTGCAGCCCGCGCATCGGCGCGAGCGTCGTCGCGGCCGCGCCTGCGGACGTCGTGGCGGATGCCGCGGCGCCCGCAGCCGCGCCGGTGGCAGCGGCCGGCCTGTGGGTGCGAGGCCCCGGCGGGGCGCGGCGCAGCTCGGTGTGGCCTGCGCGGGCGCAGCAGCCGGAGCCGGATGTGCGGGCCGCGTTTCTCGAATGGTGCGATTTTCTCGACGGGCCCGGCGCTTCCAATGCCGGGGGCGCCGCCAACGCGCCCACCTCTCGCCGACCGACGCTGGCTTTTGCCACGGCCACCTGCGGCGGCGGCAGCGGTGGCGGCGGCGCGGCGAGCGATGAGGAGGGGGAGGGCGACGGGGATGATCTGACGACGGACGATCCCGAGGAAAGGGCGTGGCTGCTGCTGCAGCGCCGCGCCGCGGAGGCGGAACGCGCTCGCGCGGAGAGCGCGGCGCGCGCCGGCGCGCTGAAGGGCCGCTTCAACCGCAGCCTGTGCCGCGGGAGGGCCGAGGCGTGGCAGGGGCGCGCCAAAGCGGCTGCCGCCGCGGCCGGCGCACGCGCGGCGAGCGCGGAGCCCGCGGCACGCCATGGCGGCGGGGCCGGCGGCAGGTCTGGTGAAGGGTCTGGCGCGCTGAGCCATAGGCAGGGGCGCGCGCCCCAATCCAAGGGCGGCCTGCTGAGGGCACGCCCACAGACCGCCGGGCCCTTAGGGCGAGCCCCGCCTTCCCACACAAAGGCGACGCCGCCTGGAGGCAACAGCGTTAATCAGGCACGGCCAGCCAGTGCCGGTGCAGCGGCGCCCTGGGCGCCGAGCCTGGTGGGTTTCGTGCAGTCGCAGGATCCGGTGGCGCCTGGCCCAGTGCGGCGGCGGTGCGCGGCAGACAGGTTGATGGTGGCAGCGGCCCCTGGGGACGTTGTGGACGCCTTGGCAGGTGGGTGATGCCGGCAGGTGTGAGTTTGTACGTGCTTGCGCGCGTGCGTGCGTGCGTGCGTGCGTGCGTGGGTGTGTGTGTGCGTGCGTGCGTGCGTGCGTGCGTGCGTGTGTGTGTGTGTGTGTGTGTGTGCGCGCGCGTGCGTGCGTGCGTGTGTGTTTGTGTGTGATGTGTAATGTGCGCACACGCGTGTGTGCGCGCACACGCTTTCGTTCGTGCGTGTGTATGTGCAAGCACGCATGTGCGCGTGCATCTACCGTATTTGCGCCTGCATTCAGACGGCGAGGAGCACTCGTAGTTGAGTGACTGAGTTGCTGACAAGTCGCCACAACGAAGAAGCCGACGCGGCGCACGATGAGCACGCAGCAACGCGCGACGCAGATTGCTGGCCAGACTCGGACGGGGGAGGGGGGTGACAGACATTGAGCTGCACGCATGTATCCTTGTCAACGGCCTGTCTGGGCCCCCCACCCGCCCTGTCTCTACACGCCCCATCCATCTCAGAGGCGACAAAGGAGGCCCTGGAAGGCAGGCTCCCCTCTGCCGCTGCAGCCCCCAGCCCCAGCCAGCTACCAGTTGCGGCGTCGCCACACACCTCCCCTTTTCTTCGCCACACCACAGCCACAGCCACAGCCACAGCTGGCACAACGTGCCAGCTGGCAACGGCGGGATCCCGGCTCGTTGACGCTGAATGGCAGGATGGGTGGGCCCCTCCGGCGGCGACGCGTACTCAAACCTTGGGACTCGAGGGGGCAGAGGCGTGCCGTGACATGGGCTCAGCCGTTCAGCAGGATGGAGAGGAGGACTGGCGGGAGGCGTGGGGGTTGGATGAGTGCGTCGCCGAGGAGGAGGCCCGGAACTCGGCGGCGTTGGCCGCAGGCGGCGCCCTTCTATTGGAGCGCCCACGCACGGGTGAGGGCCCAACAGGGGCGGCGCGACGCCGGTTGTCGTCTGTGCTCTGGCGTCCTCAATGTGCTGCTCTATAGAAGTGCATAATCACCGCAAAGCCTCATACTTGCCTAGTCCACAGACAGGCCCGCTCCTGGGACACCCACTCGCCCCTTGGTGCCCACAGGCTACAGGCGCCCTGCCACCTGCCGGCCCGTTCTGGAGTGCGGCTCGCGCCCGGGCAGTCCAGTCCGCAACTCCACCCCACCACTCGTGCGGCCCGCAAGCGCTGCCGCCGGGTGCTGGCACGGCCACTGTTCAGGCGCTGCGCCAAGTGCTTCTTCGCTATCGCCATGCCCTCTGTCCCCTCCGGCCCCGCCGCGGCCTCTGCCAACGACCATCATCCACAGTTTGACCGCTGCTGAGCTGGCGGAGATGAGCAGAATCAAGACAGGCGGTCTTGGAGCTATGATTGACGCGAGTCAGGTGGCTGGGCCGACGCAGGGCCTGTTCAGTGCCTGTGGCAGTCATGGCGGCAGCTCCAGCGGCTGCAAGGATGGCGGCGGCAGTGACGGCAGAACAGGAGAAGGGAGTGAGGGCGCGGGCAGGCTGGCAGCGGCAGCAGGAGCGTTGCAGCAACAGCAGCAGCAGCAAAAGCAGCTCCAGCAGCAAAAGCACCAAAGGCAGAAACATCAGCGCCAGCCGCAACGGGATGGACCGAGCAGCACCCCGCCAACCCGCAGAGGCTGCAAGGCTGGTGTTGGCACTGCCGCAACGGCTCCACGCCCCAATGACCCGCCAGCGGACGGGGATTCGGTTTTGGCCGCGGCTCGGCTTGCCCAGGAGGCGCGTGAGCTGCAGGCCAGCTGTGAGCATCCCCTTAAGGTGAGGTCTGCGAGACGCTCGCTCGCTCTGCCCGAACGGCGCAAGCGAGCACGTGGGGATTGATGGCCAAGGCCGCAGTCTGTCAACGCCTGTGCTGTCTGCTGCTGGCAGTGACCCTGGTTTCTATCAAGGGAACCCCCTGCGTGGGGCTGCGGCTGCCTGTCCCTGTTTTGAGACCACCAGTGCGCCGCCCATGTGCACAAGGGCGTTCGTGCGTATCTAAGCTGAAAGAAGCCTGCGCTCATCCCCATGCACGCCAGGTCGCCGTGCGCGCGCCAGGTGACGAGGACACTGCGGCTCAGCGTATTTTCGGCTTTCACAATCCCCTGCCGCTGTCTGCGTCCCAGCGACGCGCGGCGATGGCGGTTTGGCCGCACACGGACGGCTGCCGTTTGTGCGAAGACCTGTTTGGGCATTACATGCTGCCGAATGGCACCCCGGCGCACTTTTTCGTGCCGCCGGAGCAGGCCGCGCGGCCCATGCGCGCAGTCCGCGGCGCCGCACCTCCGCCTGCGCCTTGGCCGCCGTCCGAGCCCATGCCGCCCTGCGGGCTGCCCGCGGCGGGGGCGCGCGGCCTCGCGCGGCTGGCGGTGCCGGGGCGGCTGCCGGGCGTGGAGGGCGTGCTGTGGGTGCCCGTGCCCCGGCTCGCGCCGGCGCCGGGCGTGAATGTCCTGCGGGGCAGACGTGACGAGGAGACGGGGGCGTTCATCCTGGAGGCAGGGCCTGTGAGGCTCAAGGCGGTGGTCAGGGAGGTCACCCTGTGGGAAGAGCTGCGCACGCCCCTGGAAAGCGCCTCGCCGCGGCGGCGGCGGCGGTCCGTCGAGGCGCCCGGCGGCGCGGGCGGCGTCGGCGGCGGCAAGCTGGGAACGGCGCGGGCGGCCGCGGTGGCGGGCAAGGCGGCGCCGCCGCAAGCGCCGGCGGCGGCCACACGGCGGCCTCTCAGTGCGGCTCCTGCGAAGAAGCGGTAACAGTTTGCGTTTGGGCGTAGGTACTGCCAGTAGCAGTGTGACCACTGATCAGGACGCCGCGCTGTGCACTGGCTTGGGTGCGCGCGGCACGCAAGTGTGACATCACTCAGCTTATTATACATGCTGTTCTCAATCTCGTGCACAGATAGTCAACACATGCTATGCTGCTTGCGCTCCCCCAGCTAGCTGTCAGCAGTCCCGTTTTTCGACAGAAGCACGACAGCAGCCCTGGGTTGTTGTTGCATCCAGTCCAGAGCGCACGGCCTGCGCAAACCAACAATTGGGTGCTACTCTTGTGGTGGTGCCAAACACCGTGGTGTGGGACGTCAGGGGCGCTGACAGGGCTTGCGTGCGCTTTTGAGGCTTGCTGATTGCAAGGGGCTTACAGCCATGCTGGCAACACCGCCCACCACTGCAACGCGCGCACGGGCATGTGCTCACGCGCACACACATTGCATGCACACGCACACATGAATGCAGCAACCCCATGAAGACCTAGAGGACAAACCATACAACATGCTGGAGGGCTTGACTGCATGCGTGCAGTTGCTTGGCGCCCCAGCCAACCGCAAGCAGACGGTGGAGCGCGACAGGCCTGGATGACTCAACACGGAACGCACGTTGCGTGGTGGCCTTCAAAGCAGCCAGGGGCCACCGATGGAGCAAAAATGTTGTAAGCAGCTCTGGTCTGTCAAGAATCCCTCTAGCGACGACAACTTGTTGATCGCGTATCGGGGATCACCACCGAAACCCCGCCTCGCGTCCCTCAGGGCCTCGATCATTCTCTGTGACTGGATACATACACGGCCACTAGTGATGCTACGCGCGTGTGGTGCGGCGTTGTTGGTCCGGGCTGGGGCAGGCTGCGTCCTCGCGACGGCTCCTGCTGCGACACGCGGGCTGAGCTCCGCGGCAAGCGCTGGCGCCAAGGTACGCGATGGCAAGAACTGTGCGTGCATGCACACAAACGTCTTGATGCATTTCAAGCGCATTCCAGCAGCGTTTCTGCTCCCCTGTTTCCCGCCAATTTGGGTCCTTGCGCCATCACCCAGTACCGACCATACACCAGTACCGTCCCGTCGACTCACCCTGCATGCCGTCTAGCCCCGCCATGCACGTTCCACAAACGCAACCAATGCCTGGGACCTTACACCTGTACTGTGCGCCCGCACTGCCCCGTGCCATGCGCCAACCGCCCGAACGCATGCGCGCCACTCCCAAGGTGGGCCTGATCGGCCTGGGCCGCATCGGCAGCCGCTTCCTGGAGCACCTCCTCAACGCCGGCCACGAGGTGGTGCTGCATGACTCCAACCGCCTCGCAGTGGAGCGCGTCGTTGAGGCAGGGAAGGGACGCCCCGCCGGCACGTGAGCGGGGTTCACGCAGGAGGAGGGGCGCCGAGCGCTTGTAGGGGAAAGGGGCCAGGTCGTCGCTTTAGCACCGCATGCATACGTGCTCGTGAATGGAGGCACACAGGCCTCGTTGCTAGCAAATCTGTAATCTGGAATTCCTTGGAACCCTTACCTTACGCCCCTGAGCATGCTGCCCCTCTGCTTGATGCGGTTTCTCCCCACCCCGGGACCCCGAGCAGTGTCACCGTCAGCGACAGCCCCGCTGAGCTGGCGGCCACCCGCGGCCTCACCACGGTCCTCACCGTCCTGCCAGACCCGGCCGCCCTGAACGACGTGTTCACGGGGAGCAGGGGCCTGCTGCGCGCCAAGGGGGGCCTCGCGCCCTCGCTGTTTGTCAACGTGTCCACAGGTGGGAGCGGGCACACGTGCGCACGTGCGCGTGGGTGCACGGGCGCTTGCGTGGGCTTCTCGGCACAAGGGCGCCGTGGCCGCATGGGCAAATCCAGACCGACACATGCCTGCCTGCAAGATGCTGGCCTGCTGCCTGAGGTTCCCAAGGTGTTCGCCGGTGTTCAGCGAAACGCGCGGCCGCGGAGCCTCGGAGCATGGTGCGTCCGCAGCGCAAAGTCGCGAGGACATCATCAACCCGACCCTGTCCCTAGTGCAGTGAGCTCCTTCCCAACTTCCCCAACGCATTCCGGACCGAACCCCCTCCTGCAGTCGACCCCGAGACGATCACGCGGCTGGCGCGGGAGGTCGCCCGCGCGCCGCTGGCGCCCGGCGCGGCGCCCATCACTGCGTCTGGCAGGCCGACCCTCCTGGACGCCCCCGCGACCGGCGGCGTGGTGGGCGCGCAGGCGGCCGAGATGTGCTTCTGCGTGGGTGCGGACGATCAGAAGGACATCGAGGCGGCGCGGCCGGTGCTGGAGCTGCTGGGCAACCACATCACGCACACGGGGCCCGTGGGGACGGGCAGTGTCGCCAAGCTGGTGCGGTTGCCTCCCTCACTCAGGGAGGCGCTGTCTCTGAAGGCAGGGGGCGGGTGCAACCTTTGATTTGGGTGGAGACGGCAGGCGCCAGCAAAAGAAGTCGGTTGCAAGCAGGTGGCGCCTCCATGCGTTCCCACCAACATGGAAGGCTGGCACTTGGCCTGACAGTCAGACGCGGCCCTACGCGTCTCAGCGGTGCGGTGTTACACTAGGATCCACCACCCCATCCCCATTTTGGACAGTGATATGTCAGACGCAACACCAGGAGCCCTCACCCCAGCCCCGCGCTCGCATACCCATGCATGCTGCCCTAACGCCTGACCCCTCACAGTGCAACGCGCTGGTGATGTCGGCGTCCATGGCAGCGGTGTCCGAGGCCCTGGCGCTGGGCAAGCGCCTCAACGTCAACCCGGCTGTGCTCACAGATGTCCTCAACAGCGGCAGCGGCCGGTGGGTGCCAAGTGGGCTTGGGTGCTTGGGTCGGGTGGGCCCGGCGCGCGGGCTGCCAGCCGCACACAGCGATGTGTGTGGCATGACGTGAGCTGTCACTGTGTGGGCGGTGTGCTCGGCGGCGCGGCGTTCGTAGCTCCAACAATCATTTTGCTGTTTTTGGAATTGCAAGGGCCAGTTCAACTGCTCGCATGTGCGTGCTTGCACTCTCCGCTCCTTATTCTGCTGAAATGGAGTGCTGGAAGAATTGTGATAGGCAGCAATATCGCTCGATCCACCTGCTGCCACCCTGCTGCTTGTCGATCGTCACCATAGCGCCCCCCGACCACGCTCGCCGTTCCGCCTGCCGGCTGCCTCGCCCTCACGCATGCAGCACGTGGGCCGGTGAGCGCTACAACCCCGCGCCCGGTGTCGTCAAGGGGGCGCCCTCCAATCATGGCTACCGTGCTGGACAGGCAGTGGACCAGGTGCAGTGACACGCCATGCAGTGGCAGATGCCAGGCCCCATCCCCTCTGCCACGGGATGCAAGTCGTGCCTGGGGGCCTGCTGCCATGTTGCGCGGGATGTCCAAAATTTTGCTGCAGTTGACTGCAGCGCATCCGCTTGTCTTCCAACCCCCCCCCCCCCTGGGCTGGCTGCCGACCTCAGGTGCGCGACCAGCTGCTGATGCTCATCCGCGCGGGGGAGCAAGCCCACAGCCCCACGCCCTGCGCCAAGTTCACGGAGCAGGTGGGCTTTTGCTGGCCGCCCTGCAGCTTGGCTGGGTGCGTGGCACATGTCTGAAGGTGGTCTGCGTCCAGCGGGACAGTCCCGCTGTGACCGTTGAGGATACGAGGTGGCAGCGCGACCCAGATCCAAACCATCCGAACCACCCCCTGCCGCTGCTCTTCACCAGCCACATGATGGT